AGTTTATATAGACTTTTTCCTTAAAATTGTCGCAAGAATACGTCACTTGAATATTTTAACGTACACCCTGTATATTTCATAATAAAATTACGAAAAATGTATTTTCCATCTCGTAATACTCATGCACCCTTGAACTTTGAAAGGCATCTTGTTTTTTATTGCAAACTTGTTCCTCTTCAACATCTGAAACTAATTTTCAGAGTGAATGCACACAGCGTCAGCCTGTAGGAAAAGAAATTTATCGAAAAGGAACTCTGTCCGTTTATGAAGTGGATGGCAAAGATCATAAAGTCTACTGCCAGAATTTGTGTTTGCTGGCAAAGCTTTTTTTGGATCACAAAACCTTATATTTTGATGTGGAACCATTTTTATTTTACATTCTGTGTGAAGTCGACAAACAAGGTGCTCATATTGTAGGATATTTTTCGAAGGTAATAATTCACCGATTTTTTCGAGAAAATAATGAAATTTAAAATGCTTTACAGGAGAAAGAATCGCCAGATTCAAATAATGTAGCCTGTATATTGACTCTACCACCTTACCAAAGGCAGGGATATGGTAAACTACTGATAGCATTCAGTTATGAGCTAACTAGACTGGAAGGTATGGTTGGCAGTCCAGAGCAACCTCTAAGCGATCTAGGAAAGCTGAGTTATCGGAGTTATTGGAGTTGGGTTTTGCTGGAAATTTTGAGGGACTTCAGAGGGACATTATCTATAAAGGATTTGAGGTGAATTTCAAATTGTTCAATACTTGTCATTAATCTGATTTTATTTTTGCAGCCAAATGACAAGTATAACGCAAACTGATATAATCTCAACGTTGCAAAGTATGAATATGGTTAAATATTGGAAAGGGCAACATGTGATATGTGTAACCCCAAAATTGGTAGAGGAACACATTAAATCCAGTCAGTATAAACGCCCAAGGTTGTGTGTCGACAGTAGTGCCCTCAGGTGGACACCTAGAAGACACGTGAATAATAAATTGGGAAAAAAATAGTATTTAAGATATTCAAGAATAATAATTTCTTATAAAAAATAGGTATTTAAGATTTTCAAGATTAATAATTTCTAATTATAAATAAGTTGTTAATAACATTCTGTTCAGAAAATAAAGTACTATGAAGAATCTGATGATGATCAAACCTTCTCTTCACCCAGTATAATATCAATCAATCAATCAATTTATTCATTGTAAATGAAACATTACAACGTCGTTATTTCCTTAGTATTAAAATTAAAATACATATACACAGAGATGCACAGATCAAAATAAAATAAATATATACAAAATTATCATGCACATGTAAACCTACAAGAGATGTAGTACATGTATTATTCATTTATAAAATCTTCTATTGAATAGAAACATTTTTCTATTAGGACATTTTTCAGCCAGATGGAGAATTCATTCGAGTGTTTNTCTTTTTCATCCGCTTCAGAAAAATAGATTGATCGGACATTATCTATATTATTATTTCTCAGCATTTCAATAGAGGGAACATTGATTTTTCCTATTTTACTTGCTGTTTCTGATCCTACCATTGCAAAATAGTCGTTTAACTCATCAGCCATGAGTTTAGATTTGTTGATTTTTGTAATATTCGGTGCTGTTTCAGACTTAATAATATTCCATATTGCTTTAGTTTTGTCGACAGCCTGTGCAATGTACTCTTCATTATACCTCTTTTTTGTTTCTATTATGTTTCTATTATAATCGTGTTTGTACTGAACATAAGCTCTTTCTGATGCTTCATCTGATCTTACTTTCCTTATTGTGTCTAAGGCATCCAATCTATTTTTCATCTTTTTCAGTTCTTCAGTGTACCATTTTGACGATTTTGTTCTTCTTTTATTTGTCTTTTCTTTTATAGGAAAACATGATTCATATATTGTCAGAAATGCATCATGGTAGCATGTGTAGGCTGTACAGGGATCAAGATTTTCAAGTAATGTTGTAATAAAACTCATATAAAGTTTTAGAATACTTTTTTGGGACTCTTTGATGTAACTGATTACTTGTGAGCAAATTATCACACAATTTTCCTTTAGGTCCAGCATTTTGACAAAGCTAGTTACTTCATAATTGATATCAGTTAATAATAATATACTCTATAAGTAATCGATTATCTTCATCTTCACAATATTCAAGAAGTTTCAACAAAATATTGAATAAATGACAAAATTTTCTATCTTCATTCAGAACTTTTTTGTTCTCACCCTTCAAGAACTTTATGATTATCCAAAATGTGAGCATTTTTTATACAGGGTGTAACTGAATAAGTGTAAAACATTTAAGGAGTTGATTCCTCATCGAAAAAAAGATAGGATCTTTCATATAAAGAAACTTAATTGGAGCATCCCTCGTTAAGATACAGCTTCTTAAAGGGGGTTCATAAAATTTGTATATCAATTTTTTTCACAAGCACTGAAAAAGTTACAATATTGAAATTAACCTGACGTTTTGTAAGTTGTACGTTTTTTGTGGA